TTAAAACTAAGCCTGGTTCCAGTCTATGTTTAAATCATGTCCTAATATTTGGCAGAATTTATTTAAATGCCCTGTTAAAGAGGAATACAATACCTTTAAACAGAATTATTTCTGCTTGTTTTGTTGCTTGGGAAACATTTTTGGAGTCTGCTAACAAGAAGATACCAAATATCCATAGCTCAGCAAGACAGTCACTGCACTAAATTCCTAAATAATAGTCCACAACCACAGAAAATGGGCAATGCAGTACAGAATAATCAAAAGCAGCCTCATATTTTCCAGATAAAACAAAGCATCATTTGTATTGAGGCATTTTTAGAAGGTACCTCTGAAAGCCAGACTGCAGCCTGGAACAGCTTAAAATACCAACTTTAACAATCACGTCAATGGCTTTTAAACTTTAGAGGCAAACAGCTTCCTTTTACTTCAAACCCAAAGTGAAGAATAAGATGCAAAGCCAACAGATTAATTCAGTACATATGCAGGCTTAGAGACTATCTGCTGCCTTAATTAACACCATTACAAGTGTATCAGCCAACCACCTGGGTTTGAACAATGGAAGGGTGAAGGTAAAAAAAAATTTTTTAATAAATTGCTTCAAACTAAGCTCCCTCCCCCCACTGCTGAAAAAAAGAACACAAATAAAGTGAAAGGAAAAGACTAGTAAACAGTTATCACTGTGGAATATTAAGAAACTTTTCCTTAATCAGACTATATTTTAATTGAGGCAGTACCACAACTAAAAGTTCGCTGAACTTTGCTCTTCTGCCTCAACTTTCACACCAATACTGAATAGTAGAGTTAGACAGGGTAAAACATTATAGACTCAAGATTGGCAAAGAGCAGGAGAAGGCACACAGACAGTGAGAAGGACCAGCCCCTGCCAGGGAGGGCACAATGGCCTTGCCCATCTCATGCTTCCAGAGTGAAGCCAAAATCTCCAGGATTTAAAGAAAAAACAAAAACACTATCAACTATAAACTTTGATTACATCATAGATGTTAGATAAAATTATTCACTTCTTGTAGGCCAGTAGGGAAAAAAAAATCTAAAAAACTAAGCCATTTACTCTCCGTGTGGCAGTAGTAGCTATTATAATGAGTTGTAGTACTAGGTGTCTGTACTTTGTTAGTTTTTGAAGAGGACCTGCCCAGTACCTATGATGGAAGAACCCTCCACAAGGCACATGTTGGTGGGAGAGAAAATCCACCACACCCTACAGAAGCCAAGAAGTCCACATACACCCTCCTCTAGTCTCTCACGCACCTAGAACCCAGGCATGTGAACCAGGCTCAGCCATTCACATATGCCCAACATTTTCAAATTTTCCTTGGCTTTCCTTAAGCATTTTCTCTTATAGATGAATTCTAAAGTCAATTTCATGTTATGTTTAGGAAAAAATGACAGAATTTTTAGGGCAGTGAAACTACTCTATGAGACTATGTCATTATACATTGGTCCGAACCCATAGAATGTACAATACCTAACATGCATCCTAACGTAAACTATGGACTTTGGGTGATGAAGTGTCAATGCAGCTTCATCAATTGTAACAAACGTACCACTCTGGTGGGGGATGTTGATAAATGGTGAAGCTGTGCATGTGGGGGAAAGGGGGTATATGGGTAATCTCTTCCACTCAATTTTGCTGTAGACCTAAAACTGCTCTTAAAAAAAATAAGTCTTTAAAAAAAATAATTGGAATTTCATTAGGGATTTAAATAGAATGTATAGATAATTTTGGAAGAGCTAGTAGGTTTAAAACAATGAATCAGCCTATTCAGGAACACAGTATTTCCTTCTGTATATTTCAGTCTTCCTTTAAGTCCTACAGTAAGTGTCATCATTTTCTTCAATATAAGGATTGCACATTTTTTCTTAGGTTGATATTTAAAGTTTTTGTTGCTTTTGTAAAATGGGACTTTTTTCCTATTCATTTTCTAAACAGTGTTGCTATACAGAAAAGATATTAACTTTCTATGTTGCTCTTATATTCACTCTAAACTCTTAAAGTCCAGATTTGATATCAGAACACTCACAATCTTAGAGTGCAGTAACTATTTAATTTTTAAATTAAGTAACAGTTTAATAATCGTAACATGAAAATTTTCTGATCACTTAAAGGTCACTTAAATAAACATGTGGTAGAAGGTTGTAGGCCTCTCTGGAGAGTTTCAAAATAAAGATAGCACCTCATTTGTTTGTTTTAGATCAAGTTCCTAAAATAAGAGCAGCAAGAGAAAAAAACAGACACCCTAATCTGGCTCTCCTGCCATTATGGTTTAATATTGATTTTTGCTCCCTTAGGCCTAACTCAAGGTCAAGAGAAATACAGTGCTCATCTGCCCTGAGGGAACAGCAGGGACCAGGTGAATGTGCTTTCTGAAAAAACTACTTTAAAGTTTTTAATACTGCATTCTCTAATGTGCTTCTACAGCCTCCAGAATATACTTTCTGCTCACCTATAAGCCTTTCCTAGGTTAAAAAACATAATTTAAAAAAATTTTTTGTTGTTGCTATTTTTATAGTTCTCTCTATTCAAATATCCTTATACACATATAACCTAAATTTCAATACCCACTAAAATTTTACCAATAGTTTAACGTAGATACATGTGACATTCTTTTAGGGACAGGAGTTGAGGAAATAACTTTTCAATACTTCTGAAAAAATTTAGTTTCTTTTGAAGAATACTAAATCTAATTCAGTCATTATATTTTCCAAATTCCCAAAATAGGTTTAACATAAAAGTATAGTAAAAGATTGTCTGTAAAACAAACAACAAAAACTACGAAGGATATGAAAAGTTGAACTCAATTTTTTAGACACAAATATTTCCTAAATTTCTATGATTGTGAGTTCAAGTACATAAAAATGAATTTTCTTCTGTTTTTGCAACAAAGATTGGTTTTAATTGGAAACAGTAGAGTAAAATTTAGAGCAAAATTTTTCCATATTGCAGGAGATATTATTACCCAAGTCTGAGCAGTCTCAGTAGATTAGCCAGCTTTAATTTATGGAGAAACTTAGCTATGATTTACTTATATAATGAGAGTTGGCACAGAACTCAATATGAGTGGTCAAATTCCAAGTATTTTCCGCAATCATCTTGTGACATAACTTCATCAGGATTTAAAATTCCATCTGCTTTGTTCCCAACCAAATATAACCAGGTTCTAGTTAAGAGCAAAAAGGCACATACCATACAGATGTTTTATGAGAAATGTTCCCATTGCTTTTTCAAGTTGGTTTGCATTACTGAAAAAGCCATAGTGTGGGAATTATTATGAAGAAATGACTCAGAAAAAGCAGTAGTTGCTCTTAAACACCAAAGGGAGAAATAAACACAAAATCACATGCTCTGAAATTGGAAAAGTTTCAGATGCAAACTGTTTTCACTGTTGGGCCTGTTTGAAAGGCACGGGTGCTGAAGATTATTAATATATTGTTATATCACATGAATCTGACACTGGTGAAAGAGGATGGTAGGTCTGTTCTGAAAGACTCTCACTGAGTTTTGGCTCGGGGCCCCTGGTCCTGAGAAAAATAACCCACTGGTTGGCAGCTCCAGCCCAGACAGTTTAAGATTTAACTTTATGCTGGAAATTACAAAACCTTCTAAAGGAGCAAATAAAATTCCTAGGATTGGTGTCAGATGAGCCAAAATGGGGTGTGTGTGTGTGTGTGTGTGTGTGTGCAAAAAACAAATTTTAGCTGCTTTCAGAAAACTAATGAGAAAGACATTTTGGCCTTGACCCAGCAGAGGGTGAATATCCCCCTGGATAAAAATTATGTGAACTGAAATTTCTCCACAGTAACAATTCTAATTAATTATTTGAAGGTAGGGGCTGATTTTCTTAGGTTAAAAGCTAACTACGGTCTCCTGTTTGTATCATTAAAAACTGGTTTCTTCTTTTCTTTGTGTCTGCTTATCCAGGCATTGATGAGAAGCTTATAATGGAATCTTAGCAGCAACTTTAACAATACGGGTTCCACTTTTAAGGTGGGTTTGCAATTTTGCAAACTTGCTTTAAGTGATAATTAGTAATAAATAGGAATTCTGCCTAGATTCCATATAACCAAAATGTTTAGAAGTCCACCTATGCTCTTATAAGTGGACAACGGATACTAAAAATATCATCACAAGGATTACAAGATCTTTGAATTACAGTTAACATAATTTGGTGATGCTTTGGTAATAAGCATATTTATACTTCAACAGAAATTAAAGTGGAAATGTTATTCAATATATAATAACTCAGAAAACTAGCCATTCTCCAACAAAACTGAATTAACATGAAGTTCACAGAGTGAAAAACAACCTTTCAGAGAAGTCAGTTCATACTAACAGTATGCAACATTGTGCAATTTAGGTAGTCAATATGTAGTTCTTCTACCAACAGAAACAGGGCCTAACACTGAGTGTTCACCAGAATAATCTTAGAGGAGGCTATCACATGAAATGTAATGCTATTAGAGTCACAATGACCACATATGCACCAGAACTCCACAAACAGGAATGAAATCCAAGCCAAATTAAGTAGCTCTCATCATAATAAAAACTAGCAGTCTGGCATTTGGTGAGGCTACACCTGTTAGGGGTAAAATCTGATACTCAAAAAGAGGAGGACCAGTCAGCCAGCAGTTGGTCAAACATATAAAATGTAATTGCATGTGAGAAAAGGGAAAGGGCTTTCTAGAAACCAAATTCCTGAACACACCTGCTACCCCTCAATATCTTTAACTTTGCCTCCAGATCTAAAACTTGTTAAAATTATGAACCTTTAAAGCTTTCTGGGGAAGGATTTGGCTCATAACCCAAACTCAATTCTCAAAGACACTTCTCATAAAAAAAAACTCAGAAATATATTTAGTTTCTCATAGCCTCCAGTGTGTTGGTTGTCCTAACCTAGATCACCCTGTCGGACCCATTCCCAAAGCCATGAACCTACCCAGCCTGTGGTGGAATCTCTCTGCCCAACTCGTTCTTGTGCACATACCTGCTTCCTTCTTGCTTCCCTTTCCTCCCTCTCGGCTCTTCTTCAGCACAGCCTTCAACATTTTCAACACTCCTTTGTTTCTAAAGAGAAAAGGAAGGGAGAGAAGAATTAAAGGTTAAGTTGGACTATAACTTGCATATTGACACGAGTTAACTTGTGTTCAAACAAACAGATCACTTAAGATAATATAAAGGTGACTTGAGTTTTACATTAATTTTCTATGAATAAAGTATGGTGGGAAGCTAAATGCTAACGACGCCAGGAATGTTTTATAACTTTTAATGAAGTGATCAGAAGTTCACTGTCTTGTTATAAAAGTTAAAAAAAAAAAAAACAATAGTGCATTCTCAGCATTCCACATCTAATTAAGGTGATGAGGCTAAACCTGGGTACATTACTGTAAGATATTTGGCACGGTAATACAATTTCCCAACCCCAGTTCATCAAAGGAAGAAAACACAAACATAGAATCAAAAAGGTAAGGTAAAGAAGGAAGATACGTGGCTAAAGGCAGTGTTTTATAGGTGCTACTAACTGTAGAACTACAAGGAAAACATTTTGGAAGGTTATCGGAATGAAACATGCCTTATAAGCATCTGCAAAATGAATACAGTGGGAACACATTTTAATCCTGATGTCAGGGAACCCGATTAAACAGCACCCACTGCAGTGGGTTTCTACTATATATAGTTATGACTCTGGGGTGGAAGAGAGATGTGGCATTATGGCCAGATCCTTGTAATAACGAGCTATATTCTTAAGCAGGGTTGTACTGAGCTTGTAAAAACAACACAATGGCCCAGGCTTAAGATGAAACATGAAACCATCTCTACAGCAAAAGACAGACAAAAGGACTATTATTTCATCATGACACTAGTCTCCTTCAGCTCTCCTTCCCCCACTAACTCAGATGAGATGACTGGACAACCCCAGAGTAACAATCTTAGCGGGTTGTGTTACCCATAACACTTCTGCTAATGCACTAAGAGGAAAGTAGAAGGCAGGAAGGTCACTCCTGAACAGACAAGTAAGAAGCAGGAGGGGAGGGAAGAAGGTGGGAGAAGGGTTAGATCGGGGGAGAGGGGAAGAGGAGCGAGAAACTCCTTTGTAGAAGGGGGCTCCCAAATCTGCTTCAAATGCCCTAGGAGTAATACCCCACGCCACCTTTCAACCCCCAGAGTAAACAGAAGTTTTGTGGGACCCACTGAGAAAGATAAGGAGCCCCAATGTGTTGCCGTTAACATTACCACACAGGGTGACCTTCCTTATCATGGTCCAAGCCTGTGTTTATTTATTTTTCCAAGCCCTTTGCTTTACCGCTGGAGAAACAGAGACCCTGGGAGGCCGACTTGTCCAGGAGTCATGCAGCTAATTAACAGCAGGGCCAGAATCCAAACCTGCAGACTTCCAGTAAGGGTCTGCCTTCCTCTGCTCTTCTCAGCCTGCCTCTCCTTTCAGATCAATGGGAGTTTTGGGCAACAACAATCAAACAAAACAGAGATGTTAGGAAGACAATATCTGAGGCTGAAATAGGAGAAAGCCATACTGAAGGTTATTAGGGTTAATAACCTCATCTCACAAACAAATCTTTACACACTAAAGGAGCATGGTTTAGATCTAATTTTTTTTTTTTTTTTTTTGTCTTTTGTCTTTTTTCCGTGTCCGGCAACGGATCGCAACCCTCAGTGTTGCCCCCGTACCGGACCGGGGACCGGCAACGGGATTGCAAACCTCGGTGTTGCTCCCGCGCCTCGCTCAGCCAGTGAGCGGGAACCGGTCGGTATGTGGGATCCCCATAGATCTAATTTTTTTTTTAATGCTACTTGAATGAACCTTGGTGAAAAGACAGGTTTCACCTAAAAGGCAAACACTCAATCTGGAAGAAGGCGAGTGTGCTTCCATAAGAGGAACTATGGAAACACAAATTTCTCCTAACAGTTATGCTTAAAAGAAACAATGCAAAATGTTGTGGTATAAAAAATTAAATAATTAGGGCCGGCCCGGTGGCGCACTGCTATAGTGCACCGCTTGGGAAGCGCGGCGGCGCTCCCACCGAAGGTTCGGATCCCACATACAGACCGGTTCCCGCTCACTGGCTGAGCGAGGCGCGGGAGCAACGCCGAGGGCTGTGATCCCGTTGCCGGTCCCGGTCCGGTACGGGGGCGACACTGAGGGTTGCGATCCGTTGCCGGACACGGAAAAAGACAAAAAAAAAAAAAAAAAAATTAAATAATTAAAAAATAGATGCCTAGTAAGCATAGACATTTTCTTCTTCAGATCAACCAACCAACCTTCAGGGTTTGTCATTTAGCAGACCACATACTTAAAAAATGAAAAGAAAAATATTAACAGAACCATGCCATTAAAGATGATCTCAGGGCCCCTGCACAAGCCTAGGTGAACTCTTCCAGAGCCCTGCATTTACCAGGATCACTGACGAGCTCTGGCCCAACGACGTCCATGAAGCTACCCCTGATTTATCATTTGGGTCATCACCAACTTGCAGCGGCCTAGCATGCCACTCGGAATACACAACCCACATGGCAAGGACTAGCTGACACAGACTTTGGTATCACATTCCAGATACCCTGATCATTTATTTTGGGGAGCTCAGCTGTTTTGGAGATAGTTACATCTTCCACATTATTGGTCTTGAGTTAAGTGACAGAGGCTATCAAATATCTGTTGTAATTTTTTTCTTCTAAGTTCCTGTTTTCCTCCATAAACAGCAACTCAAGGGAAAAAGCTTAAATTTGATATTCTAAAAGCTGCTCTGTGATCTGGAAGAACTTTAATTGATTATACCAGAGTGCAAAAGTAAGGAACCCGCCCACATATATACACCAATCACAGCCTAAAATCCATAGCTGGAACCTGATATTCACAAACAAACCTGAAGACTGTGCCCATCAGAAGGGAGATGGTCAGAAACAGCAGCTATAGTAATAGGATATACATCGGCCATATGTTCCAGAGAAGATTATCCGGCACACCTGACAGTATCTATGTACTCATAAACAAACACCCCCACATCCAATTCTGGGAAAGGATGCATCGGGCTATCGGAGCCAGGTGCTATTCAACGTTGGCATGATGTAACTACTTCCCCTTGTTCTGATTCTGTTCTCACCAACGAGTGCCTTATAATTTGGCTCCTTTCTTAGCCTGCCAACAGTGGAGAGTGTGTGTGCCGGTCCAGTCAACACAACTGTCTGGCTTGTTGACAGACATGATTCTGGGAGTAAAGTAGTAAACTGGCACTCCAGCTTTAAATAAAAGCTCTCGTGAGCTTTGTTAAAGGGAGTCACTTTGCCAAGTCCCATCCATTTAAGACATGGGGCATATTGAGTTTCTGACCCCAGTTTGAGGACCAAAAGGCAGACACTGATTAATTCCTCTACGGAAATGCCACTGTGTAGCAGACCTGCAAGGGCCGCCAGCAGGCTCTCCCCAAACGTCACCCTCTGCATCATCACACTTCCCTTCCTGTAGCAGCCTCAACTACTGTCATTTTCCCCCCAAAAGTGTGAACGTTGACTTATCATAGGCGAGAACCAAATAAAAGTGATGTAAACCAGCCTCCCAGACACAGTAATTCAGACCCAACTGATTAAATGACAAGCCCAACACACTGAAAAGAACCTGCCAGAAGCTATCAAGTCACTGCTAGAGAACAATACATGTGGTGATGAAGTACTTATGGGCACATACCACAGAATAAATCATAAGAAGTAGCATCCTTCTTTCAGTTTAAACATTATATATTTAAATATTATAGACTGAAGGCACAGGTATTACTCAAAACACTGGCCGAATAGAATCTCTCAATTTCTGCCCCATAAAACTTTAGCCTCTATGAGGGCAAGTAGAACAAATATACAGTTAAACCAAATACTTAATAAAAAAACTTTGAAAAAATAGAGAATGTCAGCTGTCATTTCTTTAAATTATTTATACTTTTGAAGAAGAGAATGCAGGGGAGAAAAAGTAACATCTTTTCCTCACCCATAGTAAGGTTCAACACTAACACACCTATAACAAAAGACAGATTAACAAGAGAAAAGCATAACAAAATTTATTTAACCAAAGTTTTACATGACACAGTAGCCTTCAGAAATGAAGACCCAAAGACCCAGGGAAAACTATATTTCTTGTGCTTAGGTTCCATGAAGAATGGACAGCTGTGAAGAAGTAAGATTGGACAAAAATTATAATAAATGGGGTAGGAGGAACTTAGCAAGCCCTGTCTATTCAGATTCTTCCTGGCCTCTGGGTATAGGGAGAAGCCCTCTGGAATGACAGTCTTGTGACCTACTTTCAGGTGGTAAGTCAGAGAATTCCTTTATCACCATGCTTCAGGGGAGAAAGGCAAGAGCGGGACAGAGTGGCCTTCTGGCTTCCGCAGTTTTCTCAGTTGACAAGGTACCATATTTGGGGGTACTTTGTTCTGAGCCTGGACAAGAGGAAAGACCAGCCTCTGGGTTACTACAGTGGAAATAAGTAAAAGAAAACTTCCTAGAATGTTCATTTAAAATAAAATAAAAGGTGAATATATGACATTACTCCTAGAAGGCCAATGACCTAACTCACCTAAATTTCCTTATTTTCTATTATCATTAGATACCTAAGTCGCCCAAAAGCCATACATTCTTCCTTTTAAATTGACTATCAAAAGCTCACATTCACATCTGGTATTTCTCCTTTTGCACATCAAGTATTTAGGGACAGGCACAATGTTTCCATGTTATGTTAGGATTCCGCACAGTGGGTTAAACTGGTGTATAAAATACAACAAAAATCACCCTAGATAAAGCAGTGAGATGATTTCAAAACAAGACAAAATCTATTTCAGCTTGCAATCACAATGGCAATACTATAACCATGACCACCTCCTCTGAAATCACAGAACATCATTAGCATTAAATTTTTCCTCTTCTGGAGTATCATACAATTTCAAGAAGAATCCGGGAGCTGAGGGCAGGGACTATGTTTATTCTTTAATAGATACAAACAAGCCAGAACACAGGCTTCGGACTTACTCTGTTCTCAATATTTGCTGAC